AGAGAATTAATGTTGCAATACAAGTATTAAAATGTATATATATGATTGTTTTTATATCGAAAATTAGAACACAATAAAAAGAATTATTTTTTCTATACAAAATTGTCGACGGTCACAATTGACGAACGAAGTTCAATAGTCAAAGAAGAAGATATACAAAACGAAAGAAATAGATTGACGACATGAACATTTAATTTAAAAAAATTGAAAATTATCAATACAATGTTTGTCTTCTTGATTTCTCTATATATGCACATTTCGAGTGGGCTTCTATTACGTCCGAAAAACTATAACTTTGGGACTGGGCTTCTATTCCGGATGGGCTTCTATTATAGGGTGGGCTTCTATTATAGGGTGGGCTTCTATTATAGGGTGGGCTTCTATTCTGCAGAGGGGTTTACATATAAAGAATATCGATTACGTTCAGCAGGAGATTCAACTGAGACATGATCTTTGATCCATTTGTGATATGCAGATTTGAGAGCCGCTATAACAATATACAAGCATTTCATTAGAACCTTAATGAATTTCCCATCTATCAGATGCAATAAACGAACTTTTCTTTTTGTCATTAGAGTCGTTAATATTTGATATAGTAAAGATCAGCTAAAAAATTATGCACAAGTTGCCGTAGAAAATAACTGTGGTTATACGTTTGGTTTGTTAATACTGAAAAATGCTTTTCTTTTGTTTTTGTTTTTTCATCTCTATTTTCTTTCTTTCTCTAATATATCTGCATTTTTTTCTTTTTAAACACAATGTGTCTGATGTGATATATTAAAAGCATATCAGGTTATGAAATTGTAAATGATGTCGTTTCAAACTTGGTTTTTAGTAAATATTAATTAATTAGATTTTTGTGTTAATTCTGTTTGTATAAAAAAAGGAATAGAACATATTTGAATGTTTATTTATATATAACTACACAAAAAAATCAAGTTGTAATTCGAATCATGTGTTCATCGGATTTACCATGGATGTGGATTCATTTTTGAATTGAAAAATTGACCCGAGGGACCATTAGCGGGTAGCGTCGCAAAGTAAACAATGGGAGCAGCAGCAGCTTCCACTGGACCAAATTTCGCATTATGACCAGTCATGTCAGTTTGGGTCGAACCTAGATCATATATGAAGACATACCTTTCAAATAGAATTCATTTTTTACCCGGATCAACACTATTAATTTTGATACTTGATCCATTATTTGAAAATTCTTTAGCAAATTGAAATGTCATCATATTCAATGCCGTCTTAGAGGTTGAATATGCAAGTTTATTACGATCAGCTAAATTGTTACCAAATGAGGCTAATTGACTGGAGACATTCACAATGCGACCACCACCAACGGTTGATTTTTGTAGTAACGGTATGAAAGCTTGAATGACAGCAAAAACACCAAAGAAATTCGTCTCAAATGTTTGACGAAGCTTCTCCATGACCGTTTTTGATGGTGGTTCACCTTCCAAATGGATTGCTGCATTGTTGATCAAAATATCGATTCTTCCATATTCTTGTTTGACTTGTTCTGCTGCTTTCTGAATTGACTCTTGATTACATACATCGATATGGACAAACATCGCCTTAATATTTTCTTCTTTCAATTTCTTGACTGCTTCTTCGCCACGTGTCTTGTCTCGAGCACCGACGAGAACAATAATACCTTGTTTGCCAAGTTGACGTGCTGTTTCGAATCCGATGCCCTTAAATAAAATGAATAGCACACTCAGTGTATATGCTAGTTTGCTAACACAAACTTTATTAGCTCCAGTAATAAGAGCAATGGCTTTTTCGAACGAGACAGATATATTCGAGGAAGATGAATTAGTAGCCATAGCTGCAGTTTATAGTTTATCTATAGAAGATATTCAAATGATTTATTGCAAATAACATTCATCATAGACAGAAATATTTTTCTACTCTCACTTGCATTGACTTTAAATGTATAAATATAGTTTCATCAAAATAAAATACCGAACAATTTGTCGTCACTCTACCTTAGTATATGACTCGCTCACGCCTGCCGTTATTTTTTTCTCTTCTATTGACATGATCGGAGAGACGACACATTTTACGGGTTTTTTTTCTTCTTCTTTAACGACATAAAGATGAAAAAAGGAAGAGAGCAGCAAAAAATGAACTTCTCTTTAAGGAAAGGAAAAAAGAAAAGCAATGATAGAAGACATGAGTGCGAAACAGAACAAGAGTAAACAATAACATACTTGCCGTCTATGAATGATAATGTTCAGATAATACATCATACAAAGATTTGTGGTTATTTGAAATTTTGTTCAGTCTGTGTTGTTTGTAGAATAACCTGAAAGTTATCGAATGTAGAGATCAAAAAATTTTCATTTGATAATATATTGAAAATCAGCTTTTTCTATACATCATTTTTTCCTTTAGTTATAACTGCTTTTCTTCTTATCTTGGTATGTATGTGATTTTCGAACCGTCTTTATCAGCATTCGAGAAAAAATATTAGTCGACAACGATTTTTCAGTAGTTCGTCGATAGATGCAAAATAATAACAAGATTATAGAATAATGTTGTTGTAATTGTTGTACAATAAAGAATGAATGAATTTTGAAAATATCTAGCAAATCATCAAAGAAAGACGTAAATGGTTCATAAATATATATAGTAGGATGCAAAAAAACTGCCATTAGAGTTTCAAAGATTCTCTTCTTAGAAGCGTTGCATAGTCACAACCTTTTAATTGATAGATTACACATGCACTATAATCTACAGATATGACAATTAATTAAAGCTTCGTTTTCTTTTCGAGTCAATAAGAGTCCAAAATCTCGGTTTTTTGCAAACGGCGAAATGAAGTACAGTTTATATGCCAATTTCATCCTGTCCTTCGTGCAAAAACCTCTTCAGTTCATCAAGATTTCAGAATCTTCCTCTCTCAATATGTCTAAATATAGAACTGATACCAGTAGGGATTGTAGATCAACCAGCCTTTCGTAAGATCGGTCACTACCAGTATATCTTATTTATTTTTTACTCTTATTATGTCATAAAGAATATGTAATGAAACTTTATTAAGAGTTGATTATGCCAAATATCATTATCCACAGATGGAATAGTACGATAACCCGTCGGTCTCGTTTGGTCTGATCTACTTAGACTGGCACTGATACCGATCCTCAAAAACTCAGACCAGTTCCATCATTGAACGAATCGCTCGAGCATCGATTACAAATTTTCAACGGATCTGAAGTGTGTGCTAGTTGATGGTCAGTTGATAGTTTCGTGCAGATGTAGTTCAAAAATTCCTTTGATTAGTCTGATGCTGCATAGTACATCACCTTTGAATCTTAGAAATTTTATATTAGATGGTACGGGCAGATATGGCCGTCACACAGACAGTCTTGACGGCACTACGATAATCGTCAACTCTTTTGGAGACGTATCGGTCTCACTAGATGTATACAACTGCTTTCCAACGTTTGAAAAAGTTCCATAGCATTCGCTCGAGAAACTTAGGAAATAAGTTTCAACGAAATTTCTATGTCAAATAGCATCCATTTTTGCTTTCTACTGCCTGCCCAGATAGTGTTTTGTCGCTTTCGTATGCAACCTCATTGACTATGAATTTACACTAATGGACAATAGCCAGATGACCATCTATATATTCCAGCAAATCACATATTTATCTTATTCTTCACATGAATAATTATCCATCAAAAAATATAATGTTGAAAAACTCTTTTTTCTGAAGAAAAATTTCTCTTAAAAAATAGATCCAATGAGTTGATCTCAGTGTGGTCAAATTTTTATGAAATTATGATGCTCAATTGCATGAACCTAAGCTTTTTGAATACAATTAATAAGATATGTTTCAGATTGAACATATTAATTGCTTTTTGTTATGGGATAGAATTTTACTAATAGTATGATCTAGTCAATCGCCTAATCAATGTATCAACTTCTTCTATGATCTTCTATTGAATGTATTTGTAATCTTAGTGTTCAGTTTGCTAATTTTTATTTATTACCAAATCAGAGATGGAATCAGTACTGGTACAAGTTTCAGTGTGGTCGATTGCCAGTAGACCGGTCGTGAGAGGTAAATCAGTCTGTCTGACTTTTTCAGACTAGTATCATGCCAGTCGTCAAAAATTTAGACGGGCTCAATCTCTATATCAGGTATCTAATACAATTTGACAGATCAAATTTGTCACTTGATAAACCGATTTTTGGATATCTAAAGTACTCTTTTTCTAGTATTGTAACTTGTTAATATACCATTCGTTACCGGCAAACCGTACCGTACTGACCAGTCTGCCGGCAATCATCTGACACCGGCGCCGGTCTTGAAAAATTCAGATCAGTTCCATCTCTGTACCAGATATTAATTCTTTTTATAATTCTGATCATTGTTAGTGTTGATACTTATTTGATTAACAACTTGATCAAAATCTATTTGTTCTCTTTTTTTAGTTGTTCGTCACTCATCTTCGTGATTAATCAGGTTTTTTGTTATCATAACTCGAATAAGAATACAATGGATGTCATATCAATGAGCTAGATTATTCAATAGAATTCTCGAAGTTATTTTTATTTGAAGAGATCCAAACAAAAAGGATTAGGTTCGAATTCTCTAACAATTGGTCTTAGAACGATATTCAACTACGGTATTTCCAAATCGTGCCATTTTTCCGTTGATGGGCCGTCGATGATGTTCTTCTTTTAAATAAATAGCTAACGCGGGAATCTGTCGAAATTGTTGCATATAGGACATTAATAGAGGAAAATCGCTCAGTGCACTGGGCGCTAATACTAGACATTGATCAACATATTCAAATAGAACAAAATCGGCCACTGTTGGCTCATTACCAGCTACAAGCCATCGATTATTGTGAATGCGTTCGGCAAGAAAGCATTCCCATTGATGTAGTTGTCCTGGCAGATAGACCTTGATGAAAGTACGCTTTTCACCTTCGAAATCACCTTGAGTAGGATAGTAACATATGCGTGATAATTCAGAACGCAGATCCTTGGCTTGATCGATTAGCATAAGTACGAACGACGTATCAATCATGTTTGATCCCATCATGCCAAATTTAAAGCCTAGATGGCAGATCATAGCTTTACTCTGTGTCATCTTGATATTATCACCATCAAACAAATATGGTAATCCAGGAAAAGCAAGGCCCAGCTGATCACGTACATCGACAAACTCTCTGCGTGAGCATTCTGGTGGATCACCTTGTACATACACTCGATCTTCGAATGGTTCACCACGATATTTCAGTAATAAACGAAATGGCTCGATAAGTTCACCTAAAATAGTACAATAATAGAAGAAGATATTCAAAGATGGATCCATATACAAAATATGGGACAACTTACGATGCTCCCAATAAGCAATGACATATTTCGGCTTTGATTCACTCATGTTTGCTATTTTGTGACGATGACAATTATGTTATAAGAATAAAAAATTCTGCCATTCTATGCATTTTTTTTCATGTTATTTTTTCTTTCCTTCTCAAACAGCAGATTTCTTAGTCGCCTTTCTTCGAAAAAAAACACGTAAGTGGAGTTAAGTTATCGTCAGTATTAATGAGTCATATTTAAATAGGTAAATCCAGAATACTTACACATCGATCGGTCATTTCATCTCTCATGATTAAAACTGTACGATGAAAAATTTAATTATTATTTCTATTTTATTACTATTGTTATTGCCATTTGGATTAGTGTCGAACTCATCAAGCACGACAATTACACGTCGATGTCCAACTAAGTGTATAATAGTTGGCCTGCATCGTAATTCTCTTTATCGTCTAAAACAAGATTGCCCATATAACGAGAATTTCGTCAAATGTGTTACAAGTCTCTGGCTTACCGATGATGGCACTCTGACTGTGTCATTTGATGGCGACTCCTCAGCTCAAGCAATCAACGAGAGTTTGACATTATCATTAGTCGATCAGTTTTTTTATCATCATACACAAATTACATTTTACAAAAATGTGTCAGAAACAGAGGTCAATGTTCGTAAAGCATGTTTCGATCAAGATGATTGCTCACGAATGTTTGCACAAAAAATGGCTGATCAACTGCTTGGATATCAGTACGTTCAGCTAGAACAACGTATTAAACCGATCATTTATGATCCTACAGCCAATACCGAAATTCAATTTTTCACGCCTAATCTACAATGTTCCATCGATGATAATGGCACGGCAATTCCATGCAATACTACCTGTTATGTTTCATCATCATTAGTACAGCAACAACGTTCATGTTGGTTAGGTACTTTGGTAAGCCTTCATGTGTACACAAAAAATGCATTGCCAGCACCGATCAATACAACTATTTTATTCAGCTACAATTGTAATACTGGCGGACCATTATGCAACGGACAAGAAGTCTTGTTCAATATTACAAAAATTATTAACGAATTTTTTTACAACCCTCCTTATATTTCTGGATCCAGCTCATATTTTAGGTGTAACATCAGTCAAGCTATTCCTCTAATGCAATTTTTATGCTTCTTCTATATGGCTTTATGCAATAATAATCCAAATTGAATATATTCGCATCATTATACAACACATAGACTGCAAATAAATGTTGTCACAGAAATCAATCATTATAGCTAGTCATGCTTTTATTTGCTGTTCTTTTTTCTTTGGGCGGAGGGAGAGAGGTTCTGTATGTGTGTAAATGGTAAGCAAAGCAGTATTATATCCTCATTCAGGATACACAAGAGACCAAGCGAGAGAAATATGAGAGAGGAGAACGAATGAGTAATGGCGTTGTACAAGTATAAATAAAATCTATACATCTGACTAACGCGTATTCTGCAGTTATCCATCACGATCTGTCGAATGATGAGCCTCGTTAATTACTTTATGATAGTACATGTCGCTTTTATAATGGTAGGTGCACAAAAACGTAAGTACATAATTGCTACGGTGAAAAGAAAAAATACATTTTCAAAAAAAGCAGCTTTTAGCGTTTTCTTTTCATGATTGAATAGGATCAGCTCGTGCTGAAAGGTTAGCCATAAATACGCCACTGTTGCGCGTGAGCCAGCTGTATCCAATCGTGAAAACAGTAAATATGGGAGACAATGTTCTTTACTTGAACCCCAATGAGGGTGAAGCCACTAAAATTCTCGCCAATCCGTATTACATTAAACTCTCCTCAAAGCAGACCAATGGACAGTTCACAATGATGGAAGGAACTGTGTTGCCTGGAGAAGGTATGTACCATAAATACATTCTCGAATGCACGTATTCTTCTCTTTCCAAAGGTCCTGCAATGCATGTACATCATTTGGAAGACGAAGCATTCTATGTTCTCGAAGGAGAAATTCAGTTTCAAATCAACAATAAAACGTTACTGGCACCACAAGGTAGCTGTGTATATGCTCCACGTGGTGTCGTTCACACATTTCGCAACGTAAATGGAACAAATTCACGTTCCGCTCGATTGCAGTTTTGGTTTACTCCAGCCGGTATTGAAAACTACTTCGAACAGGTGAGTCGAGCACTTACTCAAAATCCCCCCAACCTTAATCTTGCAGTACAAATTGCTAAAGAATGGGGTATTGACATTATTGGATCACCAAATTGGTCCATTGGCAACTAATAATCGAATATATGTGTGACATAGCACGATAAAATTATATGAAAAGATTCATGTAAATTATTTTGTAATGTGCGTCGAAAGGATGTGGTGTCGTTCGGTGTATTATTATTTGAATCCAGAATCATAATAATGAAAACATTGATAGCGCAACTTCTATGGAGCTAAAATGTGGAGGGTGTGGGTGTGGGAATGGGTGTGGATGCGGGTATGGGTGTAGGTATGGGTGTCGGTATGGGTGTCGGTGTGAGTGTGGGTGTGGGTATGGGCGTCGATGTGAGTGTGGGTGTCGGTGTGAGTGTGGGTGTGGGTATGGGTGTCGATGTGAGTGTGGGTGTGGGTATGGGCGTAGGTGAGTCTTTTCTTCACTTGCAGCTACAGTCACACCCTTGGTCAAAGTTCGAGAACGTGTAAGAGAACTGGTATTTGATAATTTCTTTCATTTGCATCCAAGAATGTTTAATGGATTTTTTCATTGTTAAGAATAAACAATGAGAAAAATACATTGAAACTATTCTTGCTTTTACTTTTTTTCGGCGTCTACGCTCTGCGAAAGAGGAGTAAGAGAGCCTATGCATCTGAATGACGCATATGTATTTATTTGACATATTTGTATGTTGATTTCGTTTGCGAGAAAATATGAAATAGGGCATATGCGTAGATGAATAACGCATATGCAAACATTGGGGATGTGGATGTGAAATTATGATTTCAACTTATTCAAAGACAAACACCCACACCCACACCATTTTCTTTCTATTATAGATAAATACATTGAACTTGATCGTAAATATCTTCACTGGAGACATTTTACGGAAGCTCTTATGATGGGTCGAGATACGTTGAGTTTATCTCATCAATATACTTTTTATCGATTATCTTGGAAGTGTTATATTTGTGATAACTATTAAGGCAGCGGATAGGAAATAGCTGTGTGTGGAGTATGAGCATGGGTGTGAGTGTGGGTGTGGGTGTGGGTGGGGGTGGGGGTGGGGGTACTACTTTTCTGATACTACATAAGTCAACACTCACACCCACATCCACACACCTACCCACACCCACACCCAGACCCGACACCCACACCCACACCTACACCCACACCCACATCCACACCCACACCACACACCCACACCCCACACCCACACCCACACCCACACCCACACACCCACACACACCCACACCCACACCCCACACCCACACCCACACCCACACACCCACATCCAAAATGTTCGCATACGCGTTCTTCATCTGCGCATATTCTCTTATTCATATTTTGTCACAACCGAAATCGAAACACAAATATGTCAAATAAATACATATGCATCATTCAGATGCATAGGCTCTCTTATTCCTCCTTTATAGAAAGTAGACGCCGAAAAAAGTAAGAGTAAGAATATTTTTTATGTATTTTTCTTTCTGTTTATTCTTGACGATGAAGGTGCGTCAAAAGCAAGGAAGTGACAATGAAAAACATCCATTAAACATTCTCGAATGCAGACGCAAGAAATTATTAAACAGTAGTTCCTTTACATGTGCCCAAATGTTGACCGAGCAGTCTTGTAATTATGTCGTACGAACCTAATTAAATGATTATATTACAATAATATTGATCAGAAAGGGGAAAACAGTATATCCTTGAGAATGTCCCAAGAATATAGGTTTACCATGTGAATACAACTAGAATTCAATGTGAATTGACATATATTATCATACACAAATAGTATGAAATATATTCTAATTACTTTGTTTACTGTTTATCTTTTGATTGTTCATAATCGAATTTAAATAGGATGCCATATAAAATGTTTGTGTATATTGAGTATTTTTTTACTTTTATTTATTTCCAATATCAAATGCTCATTATAAGACAACGTTTTTTATTCTAATTTATCTTCTATTGTTCATTTTTTCGAATGTGACGTCCATGTGGTGCATCGTAGTCTATCATGGGGCTCCAATGGTGCGATGTG